CCTTGCAGGTCGGTATTATGTACTTTCAGCAAGCCTGCCGGAAAGCGAACCCACAGAAAAGGGCACAGCCAGCTTATCGACGCCACTATGACACGGCCGAGAAGGAACCTCTTGTGTTGCAAGGGCTCTGATGTACACAAGATTCCAGGGGCGATTGTGCCATTTTTGGTAGCCTCTCGCCTCTCCTGGCAGGCTAGTTTCATGTTCATGGTGCAATACCCCTTCCGCAAGCCTCAAATGGTTAACTTCTTTACGGTCCCCATAGCACTGGGTACTAAATGACTTCTTTGGCTGGCTAAGCTTTAGGCAGTGCTAGGCTCAGTTGGAGGCCTGCGGTCAGCTCGGCTCTTCGAAGTAGCTGCTCTTGTGGACCGCATCTCTCACTTGATATCGATGACCCGTTCAATTTGCTCGTAAGAGTGGGCCTTGGATGCTGGCTTAATGGCTTCCAATCGAGTAATGGTTCCACTTCAGCTCCTGCCTTTCGCGTAATAGATCCTTTGCCACTGTAAACTTATTAGGTATGCTTTTCAATTTGGGAAGAGTTGGTTTTGCGCCGAGTATGTCCGTAATATAAACCTGGCAAGCTGAGGACTTGACCAACAGCCCTCTTCAAAATGGAGAGTTAATGGCATTACCCAATGAGCAAGGTTTGTCCCCAAGACGCACTTACCTGGAGTGCCTCGAGAGGCTGCTGACATGGATCATGAATCTCAAACATGATGGGCTATAGGTCGCATACCTACATTGATGAGATGGGGATTGCACAGATGAAGAAGTAAAGAGATGAGAAATGAGAAAGGAAAGATCCCGTGACTCGTAGATAATATCACGCGACGTGTTCTGGCGTGGCCCTGCACATCCCCAAGTTTCACGAGTAGATGCTGTTCCAAGCTCTTGGCCTCGCGTACTTCTGGTAGCTTCTAGTTCTTGATCTTGCACTTAGATCGCAAGTAATTTTGCTCTTGAAGGACTCGCAGCCTTTGGCATGAATTCGTTGAAGGCCTAATCCCGCTGGGAGCGGCTACAAACCTAAGAAAATCAGCAATTACAGAAACGTCGGACAAAGAGAATCAAAAGGTCTAGGTTGTATAATGCATCTCAGTTCCGTCTTTGGGGCCAGATATTCACTATGGTCGATATTACTCTTTGCTGCGTGCAAATTACATTTGATGGCGAAGGAGCATTAACGAAAATAGGGGCAAGATAAAACGGTAAGGAGTCTTCAACAGCAACAGTCTAATCCTTGCAGTTTCTGGAATACCCGGTCAGTCTAATTCGGGTACCATTTCTCTAGGGACGGGCACTCTCGATCTTCTTCCCTAGTTTGCGTCCTTACTAGAGTTTCTTGTGAGTGACTATACAGGTAGAAGTACCACCTCATCATAGTCGTTGTCATGGCTATCCTCGCTGCTGTCATCTCCGTCGCTCAGCTTTTTAAACGAATGCACTTTGTTCTCTTTGGAGACTAATGATTCGACTGGACGTTTCGGGGGGGTTCCCCGCCTCGGGTCTTCAATTAGCACTTCGTGACCAGAATTCTGTGCGGGTGATTCTCTGGGACCCTTTCTTGCTTCCAATGGGAACTGCGGTGCACTGGTTACATGCGGTGATTGTTTGTTCTCATCTGCGGGAAGACAGTCTGGGCTTGTGGTTGATAATGCTGTATTTGGGGTGGCTTTGGGGGTCCACATTACGGGGCTTGAAGTTTTTCCTGATTCAGATAAGGTAGCATACGTGCTGCCACTGCTTGATCTGAGTGGAACCTCTTTGCGTACGTCTGATGCTGAACTTCCGTGTCGTGGGTCAGGCCTCGATGAAAAGGCGGTTTGGCCTGCACGCCTGTCAGTCATATTTCCATAAGGAAGCCTGGTCGGAGGAACAAAGGCTGCATTCTGGGACCTCCTTGCGTCGAGTTTGTTGCCGTGGGTATTATAAAATGTCCCAAGGATTGGTCGTGGCCCATTAAATGACAGACTCGTCAGAGGCATCTCCCAAGGTCTCGATACCAGCTTGGGAATTCTCCATCTCGTATCGCAAACATGAGCAGCTTTCTCCGCGCCAACGCTCAGGCGACAGGGCTCACTCCCTCGAGGGTCATAATACACTACCTTGTGTCTGGGTTGAAAATCTTTGTTACATTGCCTGGGCTTGTTGAAACGGAATTTGTGTAGGTACTTGTTCCTTTCAGAGTTCGGGCAGTATTTGGCCATTTCATACGCCTGTATCGTGCAATTATCATCCGGGTCAGGCACATTAGCATTTTCATCCCCTCGTGCTGAGAGACCTGTTGCATCAAACTCTGCACAATCCACAAGGCGCTGCTGGGTCCTCTGGTCATCATCAAGACACGGCTCAATGTCATCGTCTTCAAGTGCCTGCCAAGCAGACGTACCATTACCCCATTCTCCTGCATACTTGCGGTCCAGTCCACGCGTGCGCAGAAACAGTTTGGCATCTAGCAGCTCACTTGCCTGGCACATTGAAATGTCCGAGTCGATCTGATTCTGTAATTTTCCGGAAACCTGACGGGAAATTTTGCTGAAGATACCTTGGTGTGGAACGCGATTATGTCCACTTTTCGTATTGTCGACTCGCAGGAGTGCCCTCAGTTGCCTTTCTCTCATATCTTCCAACTGTATATCTTCCTGCTTAGCTTGCCGATCCCGCTGGCGAGTATTCTGCTGGGTTTCCTCACGCTCCTCTGCCGTCAGCCCCAGTAAATGGCATATGGTTGGCCAGTCAAATTCTTGGAGCATATTGTCAATGATCTCAACTTGAATTTGTGGGGAAAGGTCGCTCCATTTACAGGGACGAGCGGAGGCTGTCACTGAAGGGGCCTGTGCAAGGATAAGAAGTTTATTAGACACTGGTTGTTAAGAAATTGGAGAAGGTTAGAATTTAGTTCATGCTCAACGTACCTCTATATCCTCCTCGTCAGGGATATCAGTCATGGCTTCATCCATGTCGCTGTTCATTAGATATCTCTCAATCAATGACTCCCGACCAACATTAGCAAGAATAGTCATATTTCTCCTGTAGACCGGGTTAAAGTCCCCGTTGCTTAAGAAACAATTTTGGCCTGATGCTGGAGGTCTGGTCTGTACGCTTGTATCTGCCCCACGCACACGCTTGTCCTCGGTATTTTCGTCATCTTTCTCCTGCTCTTTGGGGCGCTTGGAGAAATCTGCCTCCTGCCCTTTCCAACATCCGTTTTCTTTGTCGCGTAGGCTGGGGGTAGACGGATGATCTAGCGTAGGAAACGCTGCCGGAGGTAGGTTGGGATCAAACTGAGTGCTATGAATGCAGTCTTGGTTTTGTGGCACACGTAAAGATCTCTGCGTACATGGGCTGTAGAACTGATCTTGATTGAAGCGCTCTGGTGGGCGAATTCTGTTGCGAAGTTGCATGGTGCTCTTGCGTGGATAAGGAGTACACATTGCTAAAGATATGTAAAGTCACTGTGAAATAAATTTGAGATGTTAATTGTCATCAATCTCGTATATCAGTTCATGGTGTGGGGAGGTGAAGGTGAAGGCAAAAGTAGTGGCATAGACAAGGCAGTGAATGCTAATTCATAGTTGACGGGCTGAAGGCGAGCCTTAAATCAGCTTCAGAGCAGATGCTCCGACTGTGTGTTGATGAATTTCCCAGGGAGAATTCCGAAGAAAAAACCATATAGAAATGAGAAATATGTATTGATGAGCCTTGCAGGTTTGTATTTGCCATTGCGCTTAGGGGTCATATGTTGACTTTACGAGGCGACAAAAGCACGGCGCCTTCCATCTCGGTACGGTATCTGATTACAAGCACATCATGAATGATATGCACGAGGAAGGAGGCAAAATGGAAGACGGTTATTTCCCGCTTTACTCTAACATATCTCTTGTCGCTACCAAGCACAATCTATCTATTTCCTGTGACAACTACTCTCGGAGAATAGCAATAGAGATCAGTTGGTAGAACGATCTAGGAACGGTGCCAGTGGTTTTCTCTCCAGATCCCAAAATTCGATCTCATCAATATCCATGTCGTCGGTATCTCGGCTATTGGTTCGCTTCTTCGAGGAAGTCGATGTATCCAAGATGCTGGCTCGGCGCACTCTTTCGACATCCCGTTTGGCCACGATGATAGCTTCAAATGCCAACAGTAACTGCGACGCCGGCCCGTCCACGATTACGCTCAGTCGCTGCGACTGGACCAGATCCAGTGCCTTCATTGGACTAATATTGAGCATCACCATCAGATAGGCCATCACCACCAAAGCCGACGAATGGTTGCCTGTTTCACAGAATACAAGAACCTTCTTTTCGGTGCTCCGGCCTAGGCCGAGGGGGACCGAGGACGCGATGTGTTCATTGATGCCGTGAATTACATCAGGAAGATTGCTAATGAGTTCTTGATTGTCTTGATAATCAATAGAGGCTGTTATGTTATTAAGCGCGGCGGCTGTCTTGGCTCCAGAAAGAAGACCAGCCTTGGCCAATTGACTATGTCGGATGCCTAGGAGCAGGGTGATTCCCTCTTGATTGAGCCAATCTCTATCCGCGAGGCAGCTCCAGGGTCCCAGGTATAGGAATGGAAGTATTTGATGAACCTGTCTGCGCTTCTCGTATCTCCAGTCCACACTTGGACAGAGGGTATTTTTGAAGAGATTTATGTCGACCTTGTCGAAGAACCCAGATGGAACAAACTCCCCCTCAGGGAATTGATGCACAGCAGGGTTATCAGTGTCACGGAGGTTTGAGTTCCCCACCCCGAGCGGCGACCACGTGTATACTGAAGGCTGCTGGCTGGATTTCCTCGAGCTATACTCTTGAGTTGCAGTGTATTGGGCGTTGGCGCTATGGGACATGGGAAGCTCCGCCGGATGGTATGGTTGAGCCATTATTTTCGCGGGGGCTTACGTGCACAGCACAGCCCAATTTCAGTGATTGAAAGCCAATTTCTTGGAGTTCTCCAGGGAAAAAATGCTTGGAGTTGTGGAGTGAGTCGGGGAGAGGGAGGATACCGTCCCTTATAAAGCGGGACTGGGTCAAGTTCAAGTGAATTGGGTCTAGTCATTAGGGGAAGGGGGAGGGAGTCTATTCCAACCATTGTGGGCCATCTCGTCATGTGTTTGTTTTGTTTCTCTTTCACTCTTACTCATTGTCAGATGGTTTTCTTTCTTATTCCTCTGTGGGCTTCCGAGGACAGTACATTTTCTTTGCTCGCAATCTCGTGTTTTTGGATATTACCAGCTTGCCAGAAGGGGCATAGTTCTCGGACAGGTCCATCCTTGGTTCACTCCGCCGTGGTTTATTCCCGACTCGTCCGGCGTTTGTCCTATGCCAGAGATAGCGACGCTTTAGGCGGCTGTCCACTCGGTCAGTACTGTAACTACATGATTGTCTCCGACTGGACGATTTCTGGGCTCTTCTGTGAGGCTTAATGTACCTAAAACTCTGTAACTCTGCTGCCTTATGTTCCCCGTATCATCCATAAGAGGCCTGGGTGTTGGGAGAGGGTTGATAATCTGTGGGTCAATAGTAACCTTATGCACTTTGCGATTAAGGAACCTGTTCGGTCGCCGGTGATAAGGAGGTTGCTGTGCAATTGATATGAGATATACTACACGACCGGGCTCTTGATTGAGCACGGAAGATATGACTATTACCCGTTTTGCTTCACGGTCGGCGCCTTCTACCCTAATAATTGCCCCAGCGAACATTGAGGATACTGGATTTGATTCTACTAATATGACAGACTGGTCTGGGACTGATCTACAGTAGCTAGATTTCAACTAACTAGTGCGCTCTAGTATTACCACCAGGTTGTCAGTTGGTGGGTCTCCTGGGGTTGTTCCGGTTTCGAGGTTTTTGTGTGCGACATTGCCATGGGCTGCTCCATTGTTTAAATTCAATCGTGGGTGATACTGATGCTGCTAATAGCACTGTGTTCGTTGTCGTGTCATTCGGCGGTGGGCATTTGCGGGACATTCCTCTGGAGGGTGTTGTTCTTATATATATTCTGACCGTGCACCAGGAACCCTCTTGAAACAATCCCGAACATCTCCCGATGTAGTAGTAGTAGCACATTTTCATTCGAGCTGGAATTGAGGCCAATGAAGTTATGCCACTAGGTCCAAAGCTTTTGATGATCATAAACATCGTGGTCTGGTACAACCTCCACTTTGTACACCCGCACCATCGAACACAGCCCATCGGATTTGGAGATTTGTAGGCTACCCCCAAGCGTTTCATTCCTCACATAATGCGAGAAACTTGAGCAAAACAGCATCACAAGTCAGTGTGGCCGAGTGGTTAAGGCGATAGACTAGAAATCTATTGGGTTCGCCCGCACAGGTTCGAGTCCTGTCGCTGACGATCTTTTTGTTTTCTTTTTTTTCTTTTCAGCCCTTTTCCCTTACCCAGCCACTTCTCGTGGGAGTGGATCCAGCGGAAACTTGAACACCGCAGAAGTCAGACTGCACAGCCAGGACTGCCACTTCGGCATACTGACAAAGTTTTTTTACACATAGACGCCTCGATATCGACCGGAGAATTGCCTCATTTATTCTTAACTGCCACTGTCAGTTAATGCAGCCTTGGAAAATACTACACTGGACTCGATAAATGAATAAATGGCCCTCAATTCTGCCTCTGAGGATGCTCATATTGCGCCTGGTAGTGCTTGGAACTATAGCATGCAAGTCCAAGATGTGCGACCTGGAGACATATGGGCACAGATAGTTTAATTACAAGTATGTACCATAATAACAACCTCCAAAACAAGCAACAGTCAGTGTGGCCGAGTGGTTAAGGCGATAGACTAGAAATCTATTGGGTTCGCCCGCACAGGTTCGAGTCCTGTCGCTGACGATTCTTTTTTGTTCTTTTTTTCTGTGTTTATCATCTATGTCTCGATCCAGATCTGTATCTGCTGCCACAGCAACACCGAGACATTGTTTTGCCATCGCATAAGAATGCCTTATGACCCGTTATCCTAGGTAGTAGTGCCCCAAGTCGTTCACACCCGGGGAGACCGTACTGATCGGATGAAGCATGCCAGCTCAAACAGTTCTTCTGTGCTGACTCGTTTCATTGCCAGCCTTGACTCGTATGCAGAACTGAAGCGTCCCTCTATGCGGGAGTTTCTTCTAAATTCTCCTGCAAAGCCGGGGCAGGCTAGGTAATGCCGGAGAATCCGACTCGAACATAGTGTACATTTCTTGCGCGTGACCTGGGAGATCACACCCCAAACTCTGCCTGATTGTCAGGGAGTGGATCGAAGTCCCAAAGGATGAATGCAGTCTTCAATGCCTTGAGCCAACAGACCATGGGCTACTTCCCTCTAGTAAATACTGCTTGGACACTATCGTGCTTCTCCACCGCGAATACGGCATGGATGCTGACCATCGTAGGCCTAAATATGATTTCAAATTCCCTCAGATATCTGCCCTTGTCAAGCCAGGGTATTGTATTCTGTTTCGCCAGCCCTATAGATGATGCAGTTCCTATAAATCAGTTCAATAGCCTGCAATAGAGCAATAGGTGCAAGGTAACCTACCTAATATGTATACCAAAACGAGACGGTCGAATTCGCAGCGAGCTAATAGATCTCAGAGAAACGGGTGATCCATAGGTCTTGATTATCGCACTCGCCATCAAGTCAACAATATATCAACCCCTCGGGCTGCAGGGTAACAGTGCCACCCAGAACCAGAAGCAGATACATACGTCAGGAACGCACGAAAAGCTGCTTCCGGTAGTTTGACGTGGGCAACACTCGCACCTTCCCGACCAGGGAGGGATGCCAGCGGATCTTCCACATCTTGCGCTCGTTCTTCCTCCTATATCATTAGCTAGCTTCTGAGATAGAGACATTCGGCATTTTGAAGCTACTATCCAGAGCTTTCTATATATTGTTCCTCACCTATAGAACAGGTATCAAACCGCAGCCCGAGACGACCGTGCCATACCAGCCTCCACTAGCACGGCCAGGAGTCACACATAACATGCAAACACATCGTCACAGGAAACACAAGACGCGCATAGACATCATGATGAGGTGAATGCAAAGTTTCTAACGCGTCTCTTCGACACGTCCCCATTGGACAGAAGCAAGAAGTGGATTTTCGCGATTGTTCCAACATCTCGCCCAGCTGAGGGTCCTCATTTGTTGGCCAGATCATATCAGATTGATCTCACAGTTACTTCCATTTACCGTGGGCCTGACGTCTAGCTCATCGTTATTCACTAGCCGGGCTCCCGTACTGTTGAGCTCACAGCCCAGCGACCTACGAGGTCGCCATAGCTGAACTTCCGACCCAGGGGTTGTAAGAGAGTCGACCAAGCTTCCATCTATTTCGTACTGAGCTGTGAGTTATAGTGACTTGTATTATACTGGTCAATCTGTTCTAACTTTGAGCTTTAGAAGATAAGTCCTGCGCCTGACCTCGTGAGCATGCCTATATCGCGAGTACAATAACATGGAAGCCAGATGAGCTAGCAGCTTCACAAAAACATACACTGCATACTGTGTGTCTTGCAGCTGGTCATGTATGCAGGCAACTAGAGCCGGTCATGTATGTAGGGACACCACGCATGAACGGTGTATTCAATCCAGAGGCCATTGAAGTATCTCGTGCAAGCTTGATACGATTCAAAGTTGGCTCTTGCAAGGCGACACATACAGCTAGACTTCTCAGGGATGTTGCCACTATTGTTGATAGATTCGACATCGGAGAACCTGTGTTAACGCTCTCATTTTTACCTACGGCCAGCACACTGCCCTGATGATAGCTGATTACCACGAAAACGACCCTATGAACCTTACGCGTTACAATATATCATCTTCTATGTCGCAGCCAGAATTGATCAGTGTACTGCTTACCATGGCGCATTGTGCCGCTGGCAAGGAGGTCTGTCTCCGAACAGAGAGTCAATGACTGCGGTTTATGACAGCCAGAGTTTCCTCCCACCAAGACTGGACGACAATTCAGCTATATCTCTCCTATAGTAGCGGCCTGGCATATCAAAACAGTCAGTCCAGTGATCACCGTGGTACACACATTGATAAATGCGCAGAGCAAAAGGAAGGGTAAAAAGATGATGTGGTGGAAGATATTGAACGGTTCGATTCCCCCACCGAATTGAAGAAGAAAAAACACGTCAGCGACAGGACTCGAACCTGTGCGGGCGAACCCAATAGATTTCTAGTCTATCGCCTTAACCACTCGGCCACACTGACTAATTGATGTAATATGGCTCAATCTTAGGAAATAGGAAGCAGCAATAAATCACCCAACACATGGCTCAGCTGACTTACTGTGAATGCTGCCTGCACCACCAGGCATTCATTTTTCGAATATCAACGTCCTTTTCAGCATCGTTATGACATGCGATCGATGCATCCTAATACATTACCTTTTCCTTACCACGCCCTTCTCAGCTCCACCACCAAGCGTTACCCAGTTTAATCCCAACAGATACCGCCTCAGGATCCCTACGCGCTACCACGGCGCCTACCCATAACAGTACATATCCGCCGAACACGGCGCAACATTCATAAGCCATCAATTCTCCTACCCCTCTCCACAACACATCTGCCTCATTCTACGACTGTGGATCCTCAAAAGAAGCTAGGTGTACACTTGTCACCCAGCACCAACACCGCAACACATCTCATCCTCCATCGACCCGATGGAGTATATCCAGGGCATGCATACAGCCAATCACCAGTAAGCAATCTATACCCTCACCACAACCGAAGTAGATCCCTACCAGCTGGCTCCAACAACCCATCCATCAGGTTCAGACATACGATCCTCGACTACAAGGCTAACATAACAACCGACCAACCAACAACCCAGCAACTCAACAAGCACATGAAATCCAAGCCACCACCCCTGAGTCATATCAGATAAGCACCCATCCAACTACCCAGTAAACAGGCTAGTCCAGTAGTAGATATCTACCAAGAGTGAGTGCTTACTACCGAGACGCCAGAAGTGTGAGTCACGGAAGAGTCACGCGCAGTAATCTAGACCGGGTAGTGTCTGTGTCTTTCCTGGAAGGGAGCCACGTTGGGCTGGCTGGACCTTATGTACTATGTAAGGGGGGAAGAGGAAGTGAGTGAGTGGGTGACGACGACTGACTACTAAGTGAGACTCACTATGAGGCTTGCTTGTAACCCGGACTACTGCTGTACATGGCTAGTTTGCTGGTCAATAGGTAGGTGGTGAGAAGGATGGAAGGAAGGAAGGATGATACGTGCGGTATGTGTCATACTATAGTATAATACATGGTGAGTAATTGAGTGCTTATTAGCCTTGTTGTGGTGATTTGCTTGGTAATCATGGAGTCGGGAGTGGGATGGATGGAAGGAAGGAAGGAAGGAAGGAAGGATGAAAGATAGTGAGGGAGTGGTGAGTGAGGCTGGTAGCCTTGGATGCAAGGCCAACAGATGCCTGCTTGCCTGGCTGCCTGCCTAGTCTAGACACAGGAGATCATGAACGACGCAGAGCCCGAGGACTACTACTACCAGACTACTAGTATGTAACCAGGGATGTACGTGCCGGTCATTATTACAATTTTCGATACGAAAGGAGCCCCTTGGCGGCATCCAGCTTGTCACGAAGACAGATAGATGATTAGATAGGTAGTTGAATGACAAACATCTTTTATGATTTCACTCACCCCACTGACGTGGTGGAGGGACTACGCATCCCCAGGATCGACAGCTACGTTTGCATCGGAGGATTTTAAGAAGGCACAAGTGAAGAGAGACATGATTATGGAAAAAGTCAGAAGGCAAAAACAAAAGAAACGGGGTGAAAAACGCCTGGGTATATTTCAGGGAATAATAAGTAATGAGGAAATAGAGAGAGATAAAGAAAAATGTAGGGAAGGAGATGAAAGGGGGGCTAGGAACCATAAGGATAAATCAGAATAATAAAAAAAAAAACACCACCTGGTCTGTATCAACGACCTCGAGCAAACGCCATCATCTTCAGAGCTGCCTGATCTTAATCCATGCGTTCCGAGATGTAGACCGACCCATATGAACCACCCGTAGATGTTGTAGACAGATCCGCGAAAACAACCAAGGCCCCGTAATTTGCATAGTTTGAACGCCCTTAGAATGCAAATTTCATACAACAAACCATGAAAATGAAGTGAAATGACTCTGAACCAAAAAGGTAAGAAGCGGAGAGAAAGGGAAAGCGAAAGGGAAAGGGAAAGAGCCAAAGTAAAACGAAACAGGGTAACGCAACAAATGATAAGAAAGAAAGAGAAAGAGCGATCGAATCAATACCACGTTGAAATCTTGATCCAGCGCATCCAGCTAGCCCTGTGACGTCGCGGTCTGAGGAATAGCCTGCTGTAGTCCAGCCACGATGCGTTCCAACTCCTCCAGTCGGCGATCCTTCTCTTGGACCTCACGACGCAGCCTCTTCAGTTCATTGCGAAGATCCACCCCGTTCTCTTCCTCCTCGGGAAGCTCGAGGGTGGCCGGATCATCTCCGAGAGATTCGCGTTTCCTCTTCAAGGCTGCGGATGCCGTCGCAAGAGACGTGGTGCCATCCAGATCGGGCGACGGGGCGATGGGCAGCTCGGACGCATGTCCGTTCTCAGTGTGCATGTGGCGGCGGCGAAGGTGCTCCTTCAGGTTTTCTTGACGCGTAAATCCGTTCCCTGTGCTGCGATTGCAGTCGGCGTACGGACACATCAAGGGTTTCTTGGCATTGATGTTCTTCTTATGCACCTCGCGCTGATGCCTCAGCAGACCGCCAGAGTATGTAAAACCTTGAATCTTGTCGCAGCCGGGTTCCATGCACTTGTACGGCCGGTCGTGTTTGTCCATGTGTTTGCTGTGAAGTGGCAAACGGTTAGCTTTTCCTTGAATCGGGGATTTTTGTAGATTTGTCTTTTTCTTAATCATCATCACCATCAAGACAAAGAAAACTTACTTCCATTCGCACGGACGGCGAAATGTTGGGGGCGAGTGCTGGCATTCGGGATGGTCGCAGTAGATTTGACCGGCAGTGTTCTTGGGCGGATCCCGCGCTCTTCTCACCGACAGTCGTGGGCGCGTCCCTTCCATGAAGTTCGGAGACAGCTGGTCGTTCATCTTGGGAGCTGGAGAAAGCGAGTCTTGGACAGTGACGAGAACAGAGGTAGGTCCACCGGGACCTTCACTTCGTGGACTAGGATAATCAGAGCCGTCACCCATAGCGTAGCTACAACCCCGCCGTCAATTGCGAAGGGGGTTGGCCCTGGTGGCGTTCGGAAAACGAGGCGGAGAATAGAAGATAGGTAGACGGTGGTAAAAATGAAGTAAGGTCAAGTGCAGCGGTTGCAAAGATGGGAGGAAGAGGGAGTTGATATTAGCTTGGTTGTCGAGCTCAATGCGCGTCGGGTGGCACTGGGCGATGGATGGTTGTTTGCTCAGTTCGGAAGGACGGATTGCCAATTTTTTCAGGACGGAAAACAAGGCATCTAGCGACACGCGCACGTGACAACAGTTGTTGGCCAGTTGGGTAATGTCTTGGCGGATCCGCCACTCGATTGAAAAGGGAAGGTCAAAGTTGGTGCCCGTTGGGGAAGGGGCAATGTATCTTGTTTTAATAATAAAGAGGGAGAAAGACAAGAGAAATAGTTGAATCTTTGCTTAGTACTTATACGGCATTAATAATACCAGTTACTTTGGTGCATAGTAGAATCCAACAGCAACACCCGTCTAATTTTTATTTTTAAAAACCCAGATTAAGACGCTGGTAAGGATACTCAAGTATCATGCCTGCACACGTGGTGTGATCGGAGACAACTACGCCGGATTTGTGTTTTGTATGTATCAGTCAAGCCTTGATGGGCGCCGAATCACGATGGATTGACTACAGCATGGATGGCAAAAACCTTGTAAAGGGTCTTTAGGCTGCGACTAGTGAGTCATGCTACGCAGGCAACCAAGATAACTTACTTACAGTAACTCCTTCCTGTGCTATTACTAGGGGATCTACCAAAGGTCGGCTCTCTCTTTCGTTCTTTCCCTAATTTCTTTGCTCAGCTTCGACAAGGCCATCCGCCACAATTCCCACCCCAGTCGGGTTGCATGCCTCATTGCTGCCTGCCAATCAGGGCCCTCCAGCACGTGGTCTGCCTTTTTCAACCCCAGCCACATTGCCGGTTTCGGTCAATTCTCTGTGGCGTCTCGGGAGTCATGGGATCTGCCTTACAAACCAACTCGGACATGCCGGTTGTTGCTGTGTTTGGGAGGGTTTTATAATTTTTGATTTTAAATTATTCTTCGAGTTTCTATTGTATTTCCCTACATCACAAAGTAGAGCATAATATACTCTATCACTCCTGCGTGGCAGATGGAGGAGAAAAAGAGGTGTGAGGTATCTACGTAGTAAGGTGATAGGTACCTTAGGTACCCAGCAACCAGCATAACTCCGACAGCGGTTCTTGCCCAATCCTATGCTCGGCCTTCCGTCAGGCAAAGAACCCGCTTAAGCGCTCTGAGCCCAAGGCAAATGGAATCCTCGGAGAACCAACCCCCCAACACGAGGCAATAATGAGAGAAAAAGAATTAGAAGAAAGCTGAGACGCCTGACTTGCCTTTCACGCTAATGTCCAAAAAAGCAAAACAGAAAAAGGAAAGACAAGAGAACAGTTCTACTGCTTACTTACTGACAGGGTTGTTTGTAACAATGTATGCCAACCCTGATCCACTCAGACGGGATCTTCCCACGTCTGACAGGCAAGAGGTTCATACATACTAACCAGTAGTAATGCTTAAGCTGCATACAGTTTTGATCGAATAGATAGATCTTTCCCTCATCCTCACTCTTGATCCCTGTTCGTAACAGTCGCCCTTCCCGTGTCAACGTCAAGATATCTGCCGCCCATCCCTTGCATAGGCGACAAGTCACGCCCAAAAACTATGCCTGGACAGGGCGAATCGCTCCCTGCCTCGTTTAGTTTGCCAGCAAACGAGAACTACTAACCTAATTAGCCGGCGTGCATTTCCCTCAAGCTCAGGCTGTTTGACAAGGTTGTTAATTGTAAATTAATCGTTGGTTGGTGTTGGTTATTGTTGATGTTGTTGCCTGCAAAGCACGGCCACAATCGCAAACCACAGAAAAAGTAAACTTAATCATCTACGTCAACATTTTGATGGGGGTGATTGTCAAGAAACCAAATCCTTCGATATCAGATCGTCGTAGGCATCTTCATTCTTCGAAAATAGCATCATCAGAGATGTCTGAGTGGGGGAAGGATTACCGATTCCCCTTTTGTGAGAGGACGGATCTTCCCCAGCCAGTGGCGCAGCGCCCGCCACGATGTATGCAAGACCATCCTTGTCACTCCGAGAGAGATCTGCATGGACCAGTAGTTAAAGCATCCTTCAGTGATCTTGTTACCTCCCCTCTTCCTCTCTGATTCCTTCTTCTCCACACACGAGACGGCTGGTGTCTCCGTGGATGATGGGATGCGCGTGTGGCTTAGAGGTCTCCCTTCAGTGGAATGAGTAGTGCCTAAATGCATCGCCTGCAGGTAGCTGGTTCTAATTCGCGTGTGCTGCTTCTGACAGGACCACTAGATGAAGAATTAATGCAGGTTACTCTCGGTTATTCACGACAAAATCGTGGCGGAGTCTTCTATCGAACGTGCGGATCATTCTGCGACGATGGACCGGCGGCCGTACCCGCCGTCATCAGTTTACAAATATATACCGGACAGCTGCTAAGGATGCGAGATATGCGGATGCCTACTCATCCTGCAGACGATCCTCAACTTTGTCGTATACTGAGACGTATCATAGTGAAGCTACGAGGCGGTGTGGTGAATGAACGACAGTAGTTGGATTGAGATGCGGGACTAAACGGCTCATTCGAGTCGACAGTCGGCATTGCCATGGCTCTTAGAAGTCCGAGACATACGCGTAAATAGACACAATGGGCAGGCAGTGTTCGGGAAAATATCCTCCTGGTCCCAGTTGCCGAGATTCAGGGAGAATTACTGCTTAGCCATAGCAGTGCCACAAACACGCGAGAACGATGAAAACAGGCATTGGGCAAGAAGAACGAAACAGAAAATAGGCAGTCATAGGATTTTGAAATAATATCGGGTAAACCAGGATTGGCAACAAATAGAAATGTGTAGCATCATCGGTGATGAGCCACCCTCTTCCAGCTGTCCGCGAGAATGCTAGGACTCACCAGCTTCCTCGAATCAAGTCGAACCCGAGTGCAGCCGTAAGCCAGAAAGATTGCCTTGACATACCACTGACTCTTTTCCCTATGGAAATAGTCGATGGCGACAAACCATATCGATAATGGGCCATGTACACGGAATAGTCGCTGCCGTTGCATGCCATGTCGCAGAGCGTTCTTTGTTGTCATCTGACGGGAGAGTCACTTGTCTAGATGACACGTAACCGTACGTAGCTCCTGTAGACTGGCATCTTTCCATATGGATAAAAGCAATGCGAAAGAATCCGAGGAATGCTTTCATTTCCCACCAGATGGTTGAGGGGTGGCTCTCGCCAACGCTTCCCTGAATCTTACAGATGTCTCACGCCTAACGGTGACATGAATGACGTCGAGCAGAATCCCAGGAATCAATTCAGTTGGAGTAACCTGATGATTCGATGGACGATTGCCCCCCGAGCTTCGGGAAAGGCTGCAAGCTACTGGGCCCGCTCTAAACCGAAAAGGGTACGAGTGCTCCCCAATCAATCATAGTTGCCCCCAACCTGACTGGCAAATGCCGTCGAAACACTACGCGTATCATCGTCGTCATGAATGTGGCCTGGCACACCACGAGTGACACGAATGCTAGCAGAGCTTCCGCCGAAAATGCTGCCGTTATCGGGAACGCCGGGCTTGTAAGGCTCCCGGCCTCCGGATTCCACGTAGCGCTTCAGCCGATCAGACTGACTGAGGCTGGGCTGCTTGCCCATATCATTGATGCTCAAGCCAGCAAGGCTGACACCGCCTTGGTCGACGCTCTTCCCATCAATGATGCTTCCAGTAACATCAGACTCGGTGGCCGCCACAGATTCTCCGGCAATGCTAGGTGCTCCCTTCATTCGGTTACCATTGGCCCGACGGGCTCCGGGAAGAGCGGGCCACGAGTCCGCGAAGTTTTGGAACATGGGAGGATACCCAGAAGGAATGCCAACCCCACCCAGGGCAGAGGAGTGGACGGAAGAGACATCATCGGGGATGTAACCAACCACCGAGCCGGTGTCATGGAAATCATTGCGGTGACCGTTTCTTCCATTCATCAACCCGCTTGTAACGTTAGAGGCATGGTTGTACGCCATCTGGAAGCGTTGAGGACCCCGGTATGCCTGCTTGGGTCGGCTGAATTGGATCAAAGACTCTTGCAGGTTAGACAAGGGTCCCTCAACCAGACAGTGCCTTTCCTTGAAATGCTGCAGGAGACAGTTCCACAGAGGATGCTTCGACAAGACCTTAGGGTTTCCAAGAATGGCCAAGCCATACTTGGCACGAGTGAGAGCGACGTTGAGACGGCGAGGGTCACTCAGGAAACCAATGCCCTGGTGGTCGTTGGAACGAACACAAGAGAGGATAATGAAGTCCTTCTCACGACCCTGGAAGGCATCAACTGAGGCTACTTCAATTTCCTTATAGTGTTCCTTCTTGAAGGTGCCATTAGCTTGCATGGAGCTAACAATGTAGCTGCGCTGACCCTCATAAGGAGTGATGATACCAATATCCTGGGGCTGAACTCCAGCTTTGAAGAAGCGGGTGACAATTTTCTCCACGTTCGTCGCTTCAGTGCGGTTAAGGTAAGAGGTTCCGGAGGCCGAAATCTCCTCATTACCCAGATTCGACCAGAACATCATAGGGTTATCGGCAATGGGCCAGGGGAAGTCGACATCACGGCGGAGACGCTCAAACGAAGAGATACCATTCTGTAGAGAACCTTCATAAAACATGTTCGACGGGAACTCTGACAGGCATGGGTGCATACGGTACTGAACGTTCAGACGGATAGGGGAGCAGCCAAGAATGACGAGACGTTCAAAGAGTGACTGGTTCAGACCTGCCTTAGCTGCCTTCTTGTTCATGATAACAGGTCCCAGCTGTTGGTGATCACCGACAAGGACGACTTGCTTGCATCCAAGGACCAAGGGAATCATACACTCTGGCTCAGCCGACTGGGTCGATTCGTCAATCAAGACGGTACGGAACTTGAGCTTCGCCAGACGAGGGTCACCAGCACCAACGCAAGTACAGCAGATAACGTCAGCGTTATTCAGAATCTCGCGCTCCGCTGAGCGAGTTAGTTGTTTCAGTCGCTTCTCATCTTGACTGGACAATTCTCCAAGCTCGGCCTTGAGCTGATTGAGCTTGATGAGTTCGATGTTGGTATCGTTGATGCGGACTTGCTCATGCAAGGACAAGAAGCCAACCGGCGATTCAACATCCTCTCGTGACTTAGCTGTCACACGTACAGTCTTTAGACCTGTTCGGTGGATACGCTCGCAAAGTTGGTCGACCGCAACGTTCGAGGGGGCGCACACCAATACCTGACCACCGTTGATCTTCGCAAGGTGGTAGATGATCGTAGCAGAGGTGACAGTCTTTCCCGTTCCCGGAGGTCCCTGAATCAAACTCAAAGGTCTCTGCAGCACGCTCTTCACAGCATTGATCTGACTACCGTTTAGTTCAGGAAGTCCCGGAACGCTGAACTTCTTCGGCATTTGGGTCTTCATCGGTGCGGCGGCGACTTCGTGTCCGAGAAGGCGATGGAAGATGTAACCGGAGACACTCATCTCATCCACGGCAAAAGTCTTCATGGCCAGCTGCATACGATCGAAGGATGTAGACTTCCAGACGTAGTCGGCCGTGAAATTGTGCGTGCACTCCGTAGGCACAGACTTATGATCACCCTTTGCTCGCAACTCGATCGTCACCTCATCAGACTGGTTGTTCGGAATCTTGATGACATATCCAACACCTTCCCACTTGGGCCGCAGTTCACCGGTATACTTGAGGCGCATCTCATCTCCCACAGCCAACTTAACATCGCCAAGTTCAAGCTTGGGCAGAATAAAGCTAGCCAGATGCTTGTTGTTAAGACCAAGGTCCCAGCGTACGATCAATCCATCCTGCGACTGAGATTCCTTCAATTTGCGGTCATAGTCGGCCTCAATCTTGACCAGAGGCCCAAAGATGTTCTGATACTGGAAGGCATCATCATAACGCAGAAGCACGGGTGCTGGCTCATCGTCCACAGCCGTGGCCTTCTCCAAATCCGAGAAAGTCGCTTGGGAATTTTCCTTCCACATCTCTTCCAACTTAGCAATCAACTGCGGACTAAGGTGGCGAGCGCGGAGCTGCTCCTGGTCGGAAGGGGCAGCAACCAACCATGGCAAGAACGAACGGTCTTCAATCAATGGTTGCCAGCGCGAAGTGTCCCAGTTCATATCTTTGGAAGATGGCATAGCGGCGCATGGTTGACGGCATAGCAACACGACAACCGTGTCAGACTTGGCTGGGATGAATCCAAGAAGGAAAACGTTCTTGGTTCCGCAATTGTAGCATTCCAATATCGTATCTCCAAGCGACGAGGCCGGATGCAACTGAACTTCCTTGTGGCGTGCTCGAACGAGGTGATTGACAATATGGGAGGACGAAGTGTTTCCACGGGCGCTGCAAAACCACTTGCTGCAGGCCAGGCACTTGACTACGCTGCTCGGGTTATGAATTCCGCAATACCTGTAGAGGAGCTCCAAGTCAGTGAAGATGTAACAGAGCAAACGCTACGATATACTCACGCGCAAGCATGTGGCGGGAGTTCCTTCTCCTCCTCAAAGTGACCCTGATGATGCTTGTTGTCGGCTGCCTGAGCACTAGTTGTGCTCTCTACATCGTCGTCTCCTGAAGCCTCATCGTCATCGTCATGTCTCCGCGGGCGGAACTGGGAAGCTGCGTCGTCCATCTCCGGCGGAAGCCTGTCATCGCCAAGTGCCGCCATAATGATGTAGGAGTAAGAAAAAAAAATTCCGATGCTTAAACCCCAATATCGCTACCCAGGTCAAGGCAGAAAGAGCGAAATCAGCGGAAGCGAAAGCGAAAGACGCCCAGGACACCGAAGATTATGCGGTCATACACGAGTTTGAAATGTCACGCGAGGCGATTCGAAAGATGTAAAGAGCGTGGAGGACGAAACAGCCGTGACTGTCCGAGGACAGAGGCAGGGGATGTTGTGTTTTCTTTATCGTAGGTCACCAGTGTGCCACAGCAGAGGGGCAACTGTATATGAGATTAGAACTGGAATCCAGTCAGATTCACTCTTGTCCGTAGGAATTTATAGAGCCAACTGGTGAAAAAGATGCCTTACATTCAAGTCACAGAGCCCTGCCGCCACTGAAGAGCTTGACGCAAGTGAATTGGGGCGTGTCCTGGAAGGCAGGGAATGATGGACAATCCACAGGACCGGATGGTGGATGATTTGCGATCGGCTCAGGCCAAGGCATTCGGAGTCGTTGCCGCCAAATCCCACACAACTCCGGTGGCCAAGGCGGACCAGACCGGCAGTTGCCGCAAGAAAAAAAGTTGCCCGCCTTTTGCGTTCCAGACCCCATTCTGATCTACTCAATCATTCTTCATATATATACACACGATGTTGGTATGTCGCTGCTTGGGATTTTAAAAATAGCCATCCCCCGTGGCTCCAGACCTCTTATCGCTAACTACTGATTCTTCAGCGTCGTCAAGCCCGTGAGCGTCGCGATTATCTGTACCGGAGAGCTCTCACTCTCCGCGATGCCTCCATTGCTGAAAAGCGAGCCCAGCTGAAGGCATCGCTGGCCTCCGGAAAACCCCTCGACCCCTCCATCGCTGAAGACAAATCGCTGCGCGAAGATTTCAAGTACGATGAATCCATCACCCCGGATAACCAGAACAAGGATGGCGATGTCGATCTCGATGATGAATATGCCCTCACCTCCGGCATCGCCGACCCCCGTCCTATCGTGACAACCTCCCGCTCCCCTTCTGTCCGTCTGGGTACATTCGCTAAGGAGGTCCGTCTGCTTCTTCCAACCTCCATTCGCTTGAATCGTGGTAACCTCGTTCTTCCGGAGTTGGTTTCAAGCGCAACTGCCGCCGCGCTGACCGACATGATTCTCGTGCACGAACACCGTGGTACGCCCACTGCAATGACGATCTCCCACCTTCCCCATGGACCGACCGCTAGCTTCTCCCTGCATAACGTTGTTCTCCGTGCGGATATCCCCAATGCTGCTCGCGGAACTGTGTCGGAGAGCTACCCTCACCTCATCTTCGAAGGTTTCAAGACCAAGCTGGGTCTTCGTGTGGTTCAGATTCTGAAGCATCTGTTTCCCCCGCGTGAGACCGGCAAGGTTGGAAACCGTGTCGTCAGCTTCGTGAACAAGGAAGACAACATTGAGGTCCGTCATCACGTGTTCGTCAAGACCGGATATCGGGATGTTGAGCTGGCGGAAGTTGGTCCTCGTATGACCATGCGACTGTTCGAGATCCGCGGTGGAACCTTGGAGAAAGGTTCTAGTGGTGATGTTGAATGGGCTCTTACCCAGTACACCAGGACGAGCAAGAAGAAGGATTATCTGTGAGCCAGTTTTAGTCTTGAGGACACCTGTGGCTTTCAGTTGGCTGTGTATAATCATTTACGAAGGCAAAAAGAAAAGTCTGATTCGGCGCATGAGGTGTTCAGGAAGGAGCTCAAAGGGGCGGCATTTACATTTGGCATATCTGATCGCTATTGTATACCCATCTGAAAGAAATTTTTCCATTACTTTTCTCCTTATTACCTAGAAATCACGTAGCCATTGAAGTATGATCGCATTGGTAACAGAGGTAACAAATTGAAAAATTAGTATACGGCCATATTAATTGAAGGTCCAGTCTCAGCATCAATTAGGGCTAGCCGACCGGATATATTTGTCTCGGGGACAGCTCAGAATCTCTATGTCCGGACCAGTCAAATCGTATACGATGTTCGGCTCGTCACTGCCCGGCCTCTCACCATTCCCATCCTGTGCCGACTCGTGCTCAATGCCCTGCAATGATGCATCTAGATAATCTTGCTTAACAGTCACCATGTCATCGCCGTCGGGTGCATCAACTCCCCGAAGGAAATTTGACAACAGTCCAGCCCGATCCTCGTAGTAGAACCAATTCTGGTGAGGAGGCAGTAACTTGCCATCAGTATCTCTCTTACCTTCTGGTAAGATATCATCCAGTCGCTCTTCCCACTCCTTACCTGTTTTGTCCTTGAAAGTCTCCTTGAACGCCGTCACCGCTAAGTCACGATCTGCTTTCAGCGGTGTCAGGAGTTGGCTCTGCTGCTTGCCAATACGGCTGTACTCGAGATGTGTAGCGTAGACATGGGGTTCTCTATTAGACTCGTATACCTACATACATTTTCTCAATTAGCCCCTCTCCTGATACGTATACCTCATCTGCCTGGAGAGAAATAAACGATCGCGACTCCACAGCATTATGACTAACGCACCCTGACCACATATCTCTCCTTGCAGCTTTTGCCCTGCATCAACCGGACAAGCGTAGCATTGTACGTCACCCTCGCTTCTTCATCCGTATAGGTGTGATACCTCGCTACATCACCAGCCTGAATCAGCCTTCGTAATACGCAGGAACAAGATAGACGATAACATACAAACCGCAGTCCCGGCCTTTACGCCCTTTCTCTTCCTACCAAAAGGATCCTGATTCTTCAGATTACCTAGTAGCGTCGTGTTAGTCACCAAAAACTTATATCATCTAGTCCAGTCCCTTCGACTTCACTTCGTCGGTTGGACTCCACTCCAACGATCAACAACTTGCCCCAAGAGCAAAAGAGCAAACGTACCTTTTTTCCTAGGCTCTTCTTCCTCCCTCTTCCTTATCTTCACTTTCTCGTTTCCCCTCTTCTTCTTCTCGCTTTTGAGTATATTCGCAAGAAGATACTCTGTCTCACGCTTCGGTCTCCGATTCTTAGATAAGAGAGAGTCTTCCAGCCAGTCAAAGGAGACTATTTTTATAGTTCGTAGTCGTTTAGCTTCCCGAACTATCATTCGGTTTCTCTGTCAGAACTATATGCGTAACTTGAACCCCATAGTTTCAAAGTACCTACCTGCTTCAACATTATCCTTGAACGCTTCTTTGGTGGTGATCAAATGAGTGATGTTTTTGCTGATGTCCTTGGAATATTGGCCTCCGTTGGCCCGTATCCACTGGGGTATTTTGTCCGAAATTCCATCAAATTTGCCGAATGAGCTGGCATGTATGTTTTTAAAGGTCTTGCCCATCCTGAAGGGAACTTGGAGAGGTAGTATTCCGGTGGGGTCTGATGGAACGGCTGAGGTAGAGTCTCTTCAGCTGACCGTATGAAGGGTGCGTTGAGTGGATATAAGGGGTCTTAAAGATATATAGTAAGTAGAAAGCTCGAGGAAGAATATAACAAGTAGTACTACTATTACAGTACTATTCGATCAATGGCCGAATGAACGAACACTGAGAAGAGGAAAAGGTGATTATCTCGTCAACGAATAGTGAGGCTACTGTAAGCTGGCAAGAGTGTAGGATATCTGAAGTGGCCGTGTCATTGTTTGGCATCATGGCTATGGTAGATCCGAAAGGTATCAACAAAGTAAAAGGTAATAAGACCCAAAGAAAATCAAATGAAAAGACCAATGATGCCGTAAATCCCATGCTTGGAAATATATAGAGACGCTTGAAAGCTAAAGTCCCCTCACGGCCTGCACAAACGCGCGAATTTTGCTAACATCCTGAGCACCGTCTGACTCTACGCCAGAACTGACATCTACGCCAACGACTTTGCGACCAGATTCGCCAAGCTTCTGGACAATGCCAGCAACATTGGTAGGATCTAAGCCACCCGCCAAAATAACGCGCAAACCACTGTCCTTATCGAGGACAATCTGAACGCGGGACTGGTCCAGCAATTCACCAGTTCCCCCAACGCCAGAATCCAGTAACGGGAGGGAGTGGTAAGCCCTGCGGGCGATCGCAGGCTCGTCAAGTCCAAACTTGCGGATGACAGGCACTGGGATCAGTTTGGCCCATTCAAGCGGCTCAGATCCGTGAAGTTGCACAACATCAAGTCCCAACTTTTGTTGCTGACTCAATATATAATCGAGGGGCTGGTTCTGGAAGACGCCCACGAGAAGCGCCCGGCTAGGGTGACGCAGAATTTTGGCTGAGTGATCAAAGTACTCCACAGATGTCGCAGCGGGAGGTTCTTGAGATGTGTGAAGAGCTTGACTAGCAGGTTTCGGGGTGGACCTGACCACTTGGGATATGCGGAGCGCCACGTCATCAGGGACGCATCGCGTTCGCCCTTGCACCATGATGATTCCAATTAGGTCTGCTCCAGCCTCGATCGCTGCTCGTGCAGCTTCTTCAGATCGAGTACCGCAGATCTTCACCAACGGCGATCTCCGGGACTCGCTGGAAACGGTTTGTGAGCCGCCCCCAAGAAGCTCAGCAATGAAAGCAGCCGTGTCTGCTGCCCGCATCAGGGCTTCTCCTACTAGGATAGCCTTGACACCCTCCTTCTTGTAAGCCTCCACATCCTTAGGCCCAGAGATCCCACTGAGAGCACACACGATGGTGCTGCTGGGCACCTGATCCATGAGCCGGCTAGTAGTGCCGAGATCAACCTCGAAGCTTGTGAGGTCCCTATTGTTGACACCGATGACCTCGGCTCCAAGATCGACCGCAATCTTCATCTCTTCGGGTGTGTTCACTTCAACCAAAGGCTCCATGCCAAGGCTACGGGAGTAGTGATACAACCGAGTGAGGAGTTCAACACTAAGCATCTTCACAATGAGCAAGACCGTGTCGGCACCGGCCAAACGGGCCTCTAGGATCTGGTATTCGTCGAAAACGAATTCCTTCCGCAGAATGGCAGGCCTGTTCGTCATGCCCTCCAGACTTTGGCGAACGGCACGCAAGTCGTCAATGCTGCCTTTGAACCATTCAGGCTCTGTGAGCACAGAGATGACACTGGCACCGGCCTTCGCGTATTGCCTGGCCTGAGCAGGCGCGCATGCATTTTCGGCTATCATACCCTTAGAGGGAGAAGCACGCTTGATCTCTGCCATAAGGGACAGTGGGTAGGGCGATTGTCTAAGACGAGCCGGAAATGGGACCTGGGGAGGGGCAAGATTAAGGTCGTAGGCAGCCTGGAGGTCGGCTGGCCGCTGAGAGGGGATAGTCTTTTGCACGGCGACAGCAGCTCTCCGATGGTCGTAGATTCTTTCGAGGATGGACAACTTCTTGTCCGTTTTCGGGGCAGGGTTTGAGGGAACGGTGGCCTTGGTAGTGCTGCTCTGCTCACCAAAATGTTTCCCGTTTCCTTCCCAGGTGCCTGCAGTAAGTTTGAGGAAGTTGCGGAACATGATGCGGCCGTACTCGGTGAGGATACTTTCGGGGTGGAACTGAACCCCCTCCACGGCCAATTTCTTGTGTCTCACGCCCATGATGACATCCTTGTTACTATCATCCGCCAACTGAACGGAAGAGGACACCTCCAGACAGTCGGGGATTGTCGCATGTGTACCAGCTAGAGAGTGATAGCGAGTGACGGCGAGCGAGCCAGGTAGTCCTTCATAGGCGCCCTTGCCGTCATGTTTAAGCGGGGATGTCTTGCCATGAAGAATCTCGCCGGTGACATCAACTTTTCCACCAAAGCAAGTAATAATACATTGCTGACCCATGCATACACCAAAAATGGGAATCTTGCCGCTGAAGTATTGAATGGCTGCACTGCTGATACCAGCGTCAGTCTCGGGGTGACCGGGACCGGGACTGATGACCAGCTGTGTGGGCTTTTTGGCGATCAGTTCCTCCAAAGTGATCTGGTCATTACGGAACACATTGACTGTAGCACCCTCGAGAACTAAGTACTGGTAGACGTTCCAAGTAAACGAGTCGTAGTTATCAATCAAGATAACATTCGATGCGGTGCTCAGTTGGGCGGCCTTGGTGGGATGGTGGGGGGAATGATCGACGAGTCCGGAGTCCGCCATGACGAAAATCTGCGCAGGACAGGATCTTCAATTAGATGAAATCGAAGAGCAATGCGATAAGTAAAAAAAGCAGCCAGGGGCAATGTGCATAGAGACACACTCACCTTTTTGAAGTTGAACTGTCAACTGCCGGAGTAAAGTGAGGGCGGAGCAAACATCGACGGTGGCTGCGGCCTGACTCAGATCCTCGGTGGATCGTGTCGCCTTCCAGATTGGGGTTGGTAAGCAAACGGCGCAAAACTTCAGCTCACCGCCTTGGGCTTAACCCAGATAGGCAGTCATTGTTGACCTCCAGCCAAACCCGCTCCTGGAATAATATTCTTGGGTTCCCGCCTTTGAGCTTGTGAGCTCTCTGCTTAACACTCTCAACTTGCCTGCCCTTTTGCTCCGGGTCTCTGTCGCTTTGGACCCTCGCGAGCAGCACATCCTTTTCGCATCCCATCGAGCATCTAGAATGATATAATTGTCTCGCCAATGGCTCCCGTCCCGGAAGCCTATTTCCCGTCCCTGGACAAGTGCTTCTCTGGGGACGTCCAGCTTCTGTATGGGCTTTACATTCGTCTCTTCCCAATTGACGAGCATTCACTGATTAGCTATGCGATCTTAGGTCCTGGAAGAGAGCCTTCCTTCACATATGCAAAATCGATAGCAACGTCGAAGATGTGGAAAGACTCCATGCCTTCCTATCGCATCCCGACAGCGTCCAAATCCTCTCG